CTAGGCCCGAAGCATCAGCCTTTCTGCTCCTCTGATGCTGCTTGGCCTGCTGTGTTCATCCAGCTCTGCACCTTGTTATCTCAGACTTCATTCCTCAATTGGTTGACTCTTGACGCAGAGTGTACTAATCTCCTTTAGCCTTCCCCAGTACTTTTATAACCTATAAATAATAGCATTCAAAGAACATTTTAATGAAATGCTTTGAAATTGCTTGTGACAGTGTCCTCCGGATTAATCTTTAATATCGAGAGGTGCAGGCTAATCCTGTAGGTTGGCAGATCCTATTCACTGAAGATCACCTACTTCCAACTCTGTAACGTCATCCATCTCTGTGTTTGCTTCAGTTTAATTGCTGCTGAAATTCCCGTCATTGCTTTTCCTAACTCAGAATTCACTGACTCACAGAATTATTGCGGTACAAAATAAGGCCATTCAGCCCATCATGCCTGCATCAGGTCTATTATCTAGGCCAGCTTTATTACCTAATGCCAATTTCCAATCTTTTCCCCATATCCCTGCACACCGTTATTTCCAAAAATCACACCTATACCCTCCCAAATGCCTCAATTGAACCTGCCTCCACCACATTTCCTGACAGAGAATTCCATACCCTAACTGCTTGCTGTGTGAAATTTTTTTTTCTCATCTCATCCTTGCTTCGTTTGTGCATCGTTTTAAATCTAAGCCCCCTCATTCTTGTTTCTTGTACAAGCTTCACCCTCAGTGCTCTATCCAGCCTGCTCACTATTTTGGAAACTTCAATTAGATCTCCTCTTAGACTTCCTCTCTCCATGGAGAATAGTCCCAACTTCTTCCATCTATCCTCATAACTGGACTTTCTCATACCTCAACCATTCTAGTAAATCACTTCTGCACTCTGTCCAATGCATTTGCATCCTTCCTAGAATGCGGCACCCATAACTGTACACAATGCTCCAGTTGAGGTCTAACAAGTGTCTCATACAAGTTCAGCATCACTTCCTTCCTATGATGCTCTTATTGATAGAGCAGAAGATACTGTATGCTTTATTTTCTACTTTCTCAACCTGTCCTGCCATTTTCAATGATCTGTGGACATACCTGCACATTTGATTACTCCAATGCTCAACCTTTAATCTGAATCCCTCTGGGAATTTGAGCTCATCCAAATGTCTGTCGTCCGAATTCTAACTCAGGTTGAGTCCCACTCATTTGTCACCTTTGTGCTCACAGGCCTACATTGCCTCACTTTTAAAATTCTCACTTGCGTTTACAAATCCATAGCCCCATCCCATCCTCTGTCTGTAATCTTCTCTTATTCTCTAATGATCCAAGATATCTGCCTCCCTCTAATTCTGGCCTTTTGCACACTCCAAGTTTAAATCACTCCATCATCAATAGTCATGCCTTCAACTACCTTGGCCCTGAGCATTGGAACTCCTACCCTAAACCTCAGAGCCTTTCTCTGCTCCTGTAGGATATCCGTTAACACCTATTGCTTTGACCAAGCTTTAAGTCACCTATCTCTAACATTCCCTTCTGTATCTCAGAGTCAAATTTAGTTTTGATAACGCTCCTCAGAACATTTAACTACATTAAATGTGCTCGATAAATGCAAAATATTGCTGCTACTGTGTTGGCTCTTATTTTCCCTCATTTGCCAAGTCAGCTGACCCTCCAGCAATAAGCTCAAGGACAATGTATATCATTTGAGTACTATCCATGTAAAATGATGGTCTTCCTTTTGAAAGATTTATGGAGCAAAAAAGCAAGATTTGTTTTAGATTTCAGTTTGATAATGCAAGCGCTCATATGTGTTATCAATCATTTCCTACACTTGGTGGATCCTCCCATACCCTTTCCTCATAGACATCAGCCCCAGTGTAATCTTTTGGTCATTTCAAATAAGCTCTAAATCTTTGCAACAACTTTTTTTTTAAGCTGACTCAGTTTTATGTAGAATGTTATCATCATTGATCCTCAGAGGAACTGTTTTTGGCTGAAATATTGAGTCTGAAGTTTATAAGTCAAGTTCCACTCCAGACTGCAGCACAAAAATCTTGATAAATAAAACCAAAGGACTGTGAATCTTCCAGATCTGAAATACAGACAGAAAGTGCTACAGACACTCAGCAGGTCTGGAAGCATCAGTGGAACGAGAAACAGAGTGAACACTTCGAGTCCAATATGATGTTTCTTCCTTTCTATTTTAATTAAGAAATCTAGGCTGTCATTGCAATGTAAAGTTGCAGCTGGACTATCAGACAAGATGTTTAACTTAAATATCAGTGCTGTCAACATCTTATAATATAGAATATTTTGGTCTGCCACTACCAGTCTTTTGTGGTGGTGTTAGTCTAAGCTATGTGAACAAGGATGTCCATAATAGGCCATCTTAATAGATAGGAAATAGATTTAATAAATATTACTTAATAGAAACATAGAAGATAGGTATAGGCCACTCGACCCCTCAAGCCTACTCTGCCATTCAATATGACCATTGCTGATTATCAAGTTCAATACCCTAATCCCGCCCTCACCCACATATCCCAGATCCCTTTAGCGACAATTGCTATATTTACCTTCTTCCTGAAAACACAATGTTTTAGCCTCAACCACTTTCTGTGGTAGTGAATTCCACTGGCTCACCACTTCCTGGGTGAAGAGTGAAGAAATTTCTCCTCATCTCAGTCCTAAAGGCTTTGCCCCTTAAACTATGACCCATGGTTCTGGAATCCTCCACAATCGGGAACATGCTTCCTGCATCTAACCTATCTAGCTCTGATAGCATTATATAGGGTTCTATGAGAATCCCCACTCTCATCCTTCCTCAGATAACAAACCAAAACTGCATACAACATTGCAAGTGTGCCTTCACCAATGCCCTGTATAAGCTAGTTGTATTACCTCTAAGATACATGATTTTCTCTCGACAAACATCACGCTTACCTTAAGAGTAAGTTCACATTCCAGCTACTAAAATACTCACACAGAGTATTGATAACAGGCACAGAACCAGATGCGCAGCCAGTTAAGACACATTGGTTGGAGATCTTGTGGCGCAGTGGTAATGGCCCTACTCTGAGCCTAGAAACCCATGTTTAAGTCCCAAATATCCCAAGAGATGTGTAATCATATCTCTGCAATAGGTCAATTAGAAGATAGTGAGGAAGAAGCATGACGCACTGATTTGTGTAATCAATCCTTTACACCCTAACGGATGGAGCTTACCTTACAATGTCAGTTAACCTTTTCAGGTACTAATTGTCTCATACAACACATTGCTTTTTATGTGTACCTTGCACTACAACAGTGATATTGGCTGCACAGTACTTTGATGCTTTTAAAGGCTGAGAATTATGAATTTTTAGTGTAAGATAATGTTCAATTATAGTTAGAGTAGAATGAAGGGGAATTGTAGAGTCAGACAATATAGAAGGAGGCCATTGTGCCCATTGTTCCTGGTGGTGACTCTTGAAAAGAACTATTCAATTTGCTCTTTCACTGTGGCACGGAAAATATCTCCTTTTTAAGTATTTAACTAATTTCGCTGTGAAAACTACTTTCAACTTAGCTTAACGCTTATTCTTGTGGTAGATTTTCAGGCAGTAGTAACTTACTGCATAAGAAAAAAATCTAATATCTGTCTTTTGGCTCTTTGTTGATTGTTGTAAATGTTTGCTTTGTTTACTGACTCTCTTCATAGTCCAAACAATTTATTTTAACCACTCAATTAAAATTCACTGTAATTTAAATTTTCTATGAAACCTCCCGACAAAATCTTTCCTGGCTCCAATGCCAGCCTCTCTAGTTTCTCCACATTACCGAAGCACCTGACCAACAATAATACTCTTGTGACATGAGAAATGACACTTGGAACAGCTTAATAACTTTAAGACAGCACAAGAAGGCAGCTCAAAACACCTACCTGACACCAGTTAGGAATAGGAAACTAATACGATGATCAGGGATAACAAGGTGTAGAGCTGGATGAACACAGCAGATCAAGCAGCATCAGAGGAGCAGGAAAGCTAACGATGATCAGGGACTTGTTGCAGAGATCTCACAGGATAAGAGGTCAAATCTGATTGTGCGATATGTTGATGAGACACAGCCTACCATGTGATGTCACATGATCTTGCTCACTCTTTCAGCTTCCTGTCAAATGAAAACACAGTAAGATGTTTCTTCATTCAAGTGAATGTTTTCCTTTCCTTAGCAGACTCTTAAATATTCTTCAGCAGTCCCACGAAAGCAAGAACATCAGGCAATAAACTCTGGCTTTGATAGCAATGCGTCACACCCCATTCACCAAGACTCCTTAGAGAGCACATACTTAACATACAGCCCCTACCAAAATCCTGGAAATCCCTTCCGAACATCATTCTGCATGTACAACACCAAATCGACTCAAGACAGCAACTCATCACCAACGTCTCAGGGGTAATTAGGGATGGGAAATAAATGCTGGTCCAGCCAGGGATGCCCACGTCCCCAATCAAACAAAGTAAAAGTTTTTAAAGAGTGTGTGGTTTGTAGTTTCTCAGTTGCCATTTTTTGCCGTTTCACTGTTAATGAGACTAAATGTGGGAACGTGTCAGTCAGGATTACCCCAGACCTGACTTTTTCAGGGTGAAGATTCCTGTGTTATTGATTCTGAGTAAGATGCCTCATGTAAGCACAGCTGTTTCCTGAGTGTCCTGAGACTGGTAGAGTCCAACTCAGCAAAAACTAAGCATGGGAACAATGCATTGAATGCTTTCTCAGTGATCTTTTCTTGTTGACATCGTAAAACATTTATTGATTGGAGTTATTCCACATTTTAATAACAAAACATTGCTTCTAGAGTCAGTGAAGGAATTCTAAAAAAGACAGATAATGTCAACTGAATGACAGAGTCTTTTGCTTCCAAATATTAAAAATCAGATAGTTCAGCGCCAGTGAGAACAATACAAGATACATCAATCAAATTCCTTCAAATGATATTATGCAACATTAATTAATCTCCTTTGATAAAATTCCTTAAGCTGCTACTTCAGTGAATTAAGTGGGCAACGCTTATTTCTATATTTTATGATTAACATGATTGCTTCCATTCTGATCTTTCTGTCCTTTACACTGTTCCAACAAACTCAAGGTAACCTTGAGGAATTGTACCTCATTGTTTCTATAAGCCCCATAATATGTCTTCTTGGGCAATCACCCAAGATTCCATTCCACTTCTACTGCAATTTGATGGGGTTTTTGAGATGGTAGAAAATTCTAAAATGCGATCCTCAGACACTGCAAAATTTGAAGCAGGCAGTGCTTGTTGGGTTGGGTATAGATAGGCAGGCTACATTCTTCTGAATGGAAGGCAGAACTAAACAATTCCAGATCATGACCATTATCGTTACTGCCTCCAAATAGTAGTTGTTGGTAATGACTCTTTCAGTTCTCTCTTTCAGACACATCTATGCCACTGACGTGTCTCTCCACCTTTCACTATCATTCTGTTTTTTATTTAATCTCTTCCGTCTTCCATCACTGACCTTCTCTATTGTCCTTCCCACTTCTTTTCCTGTTTTGGTTAGCTCCAACTCCCCTACAGAATTCGTCTTAACATGGGCAAAAAAAAAAGAGGTGAACTCCAGAAGTGAGGTGACAGTAACTAGCTTTGACATCAAGACCCTTTTTGACCCAATGTGACATCAATAAATGTGAAGGTAACTGGAATCAGAGTAAAACTTTCAACAGAAGTTGCTGGGAAAGCTCAGCAGATCCGGCAGTACCTGTGAAGAAAAATCAGAGTTAACACTTCGGGTCCGGTGACCCTTCCTCAGAACTAAGGAAGGGTGTGAGGAAGGGTCACTGGGCCCTAAAAATAAACACTGACTTTTTTTCTTCTCAGATGCTGCCAGACCTGCTGAGCTTTCCCAACAACTTCTGCTTTTGTTGCTGATTTACAGCATCCGCAGTTCTACAGGTTTTACATAAAACTTTCAACAGATTGGAAAGATATTTGGCACAAAGGTATATTGTTGAGGTTGTTGGACGGCAATCATTTCTGTCCCAGGATATTGCTGCAGGAGTTCCACAAAGTAATGTCCTAGGTCCAAAATCTCCAGCTTGAATGACCTTTCTTCTAACGTAAGGTTGTAGAATGTTTGTACAAATTTCAGCACCATTTGCAAATCCTCGGATATTAACGCAGCTTGTGTTCATATGCAGCAAACCCTGGATGATGCTTAGGCTTAGCATGATAACTGACAAGAGTTGCAATCATGGTAAATATGGAATATTGATATTCAATTTCCACTGTCTGAATTTTTAACACCTGAGAACTTCATGGAGTATGAATGGCTTTTATAAAGGACAGATATTGGCCTAAAATGGTTGATCTGAACCCCTGACCACACACTATGACAAATCCTGCATATAGCGAAACCCTATGCACTGAGATAGCCATGTTACATAAAGACTGGAACCACCAACTGACTCAACTTCAAGAGAATTTGTATCTCATGCTTAATTCATACTGGTACAATAGATTTGGGTATCAAAGGGTTGTCCAAAACTGTCAAGTTGGCAACACAATGTAGCAGATTCAAGAATGTACAAATGGACATGTAACAGCAAGTGCTTTGAAAAGCCAAGCAGAGAAGAAAATCAGAAATATGAACTGATAATAGCAAGAACTGTGCGAGCCTCTCTCAAGCTGTCCCTCTCCATGCTGAAGTCTGTGTATGGGGAAGAACTAACTTAAAAACAACAAGATCAACAAACTTTGTCACTGCTGTGGGATACGAGTCAACAATTAAATAATTGACCTCACGTTGAAAACATAACACCTTAAAGACTCAGTATTATCTTCTCAATACTGTGTAGCCTACTCAACACACAAATCCTGTGAATAAATACTCAAAAACCTGTACCTCTCTGGTTACTCATGGATCCGAAGTAGTTTCAGTGACCTGATACATTGGATAGGATTTTCCTGGGCCCAGGGCAATGGGAGTGGAGGAAACAGTGGGGCTGGGAGAATCATGGGTGGGCATGCAATGAAATTTCCCCAAAGCAATCCTGTTACTGGGGATATTTCCCAGGGGGTGGTAGTCATGTGGATCAGGGTAGACAGGCACTCAATCTGTAAACTAAAGGCAATAATTTGGGGCCATTTTGAGTGCTTGCTGAAAACTTGACCCCTCTCCATGTGTGGGAGCAGCCTCCCTCAATACAAGTGGCTTCCCTGGGGGCTTTTTGAGTGGAGGGACCTAGAACCAGAGGCCCCATCCCCAGGGAGGCGTCTAAAGGCAACAGTGGCCTCACCCACAGTGTAGCACTGTCACTAGTCGGATTTGAGCTCCGAAAAAATGGAACATATGGCTATAAAATCTGAATTATCATCTTCCTTCCGAGTGTGAGTCCATTACTGCCTCAGCATTGCCCACCTCTCTCATGGGAGCTGCCAAAAATTCAGAGTTACTGGTGTGAGATCAGGTCAGCAGCATAGGGAGCCTGTCAGGCATCTGTAATTGGATCAAAAACAAAGTTGCTGGAAAAGCTCAGCAGGTCTGGCAGCGACTGAGAAGGAAAAAACAGGTGACCCTTCCTCAGTACAGTATCTGTAATTGGATGGTGCGTTTGAAATAGCTAAACAGGAGGCGGAGTCCAGGAAATTAGCAAACCATCTCAGAGTAAGTCCAAACTTGGTCTACGCGAAACAAAACCCGTAAGAAAATCTTTGCCATTCCCAAAAGGAATAAAACAGCAAAATTGGTGAATGAGGTATTTTGCTGTGACTCATCTTGTACACTTCAGAACGGACATCCCCTGTTTGACCAGTATGTTCATTCCAAGTATTTCACCTTTGCACTATCTCTCTCCCTCCTTCTAGAATGAAGAACACAGGAGGGCAGGTTAGGACCAGCACCAGGTGTACCTAGAAATGAGATGTCAACCTGGAGAAGCTACAAAACAGCACGACCAGTAACTAATAGATAGGGCTAAGTGATTGCATAACTAACAGATCAGATGTAAGCTCTGCAGTCTGACCATATCCAGTCATGAAAGGTGGTGGATAATTAAACAAATCACTGGACATGGAGGATCCACAAATAACCCCATCCTCAATGATGGAAGACCCCAACATATCATCACAAAAGATAAGGCTGAAGCATTTGCAGCAATCTTCAACCAGAAGTGCCAAATGGATGATCCATCTCGGCTTCATCCAGATGACGCAGTATCAGAGATACCTGTTTTCAGCCAATGACTGTAAAAACCACTTTGGTTTTGATGAACGAACAGTTCTGCCTGATGGCTAACGTCACCAATCCATGGGGATGGGGCTCAGAGGTTCATGCAGCACGATAAAGTCCTCATTGAAAGAGGTGTGTGGAAGCTTAGTACTGATGGGCTGGACAGGGAGTGTGAAGAAAAGAACATGGAAGTTTGTGAGGGGCAATCTTCCGAGGAGGAAGGTGAGGACACTGAGCAGGGGGAGTCACCACCTCCTCCCTCACAGAGTGGTGCAGTGCCTGGCACAACAAGCCACACAAGGTATGACTAACATTCAGTTCCAATGAATGTGCGCTGAATGCAGCGAGCGCTCACTGACTGCAAATTTGTTGCTGCTCAAAGGCAAGCAGTTCCATTATTTGCCAATTTGGTTTGACTAATTTTTGCTTTGCAGAATAAAAATGAAAAGTTAAAGCTGTTTTGAAGGCTTTCCAGCATGTCGTGTTCCCACGTGGAACAACAAGAAAATGCTAGGTGAAACTGGGCCTCACAGCGCCAGGGACCCAGGTTCAATTCCACCCTTGGCTGACTGTCTGTGTGCAGTTTGCACATTCTCCCCGTGTCTGCCTGGGTTTCCTCCAGGTACTCCGGTTTCCTCCCACAGTCCAAAAATGTACAGGTTAGGTGAATTGGCCATGCTAAATTGTCCAGCGGTGTGTAGGCTAGGTGAGCTAATCATGGGAAATGCAGGATTATAAATTAGGGATCTGTGTCTGGGTGGGGTGCTGTTCAGAGGGTTGGTGTGAATTCAATGGGCTGAATGGCCTGCTTCCACACTGTAGGAACTCTATGATTCACTTCCTTAGATAGGATTTCAAGATGCTAAGGACAGATAACCTCTGTAGCTTGGTTCTTAAAGGGCATTACATTTATGAATG